GCTACTAAATTTATTTAAAAATAGCTATCCCTGTACAGCTACGATCAGCTGTTCCTTCATCTTGGCTGAGCTTTCAATGTTGTTACGGGAAAGGATGAAGCTGATTGGTTGGTTCTTGTCACATGACCCGCGGTATGCTTGCGGCAGAAAAGTTGAAATGTTTTTATCTCGATGCCTGGAAAAAATGAGCGCGTTGCACCGTGTGCGCGTCGCGACCGCGTCGCTTCCATTATGAGCGTGCCTGCCGCGCGTCTACATTTGAAATAACGAATTTGAGCGCACAAAAGACGCGATATGTGAACGGCCCCTTAAACTAAAAATAAATAACCTGTCATGATTTGCTCATCCTCATGTCATTCCAAACATGTATGACTTTTGTTCTTCTCTGTTCCTCATCAACACTCATCATATGACATTAGACAGATGCATATAGTCATAGTTCCTTTTGGTGCTTGCTTTACTTCTTTCAGGTTGATCGCCCCCGATTCACTATTTTGTATTGACAAGAGCAGCGTGAACATTCTTCAAAACATCTCTTTTTGTGCTCCACAGACAAAAGTTAGTCATACGAGTTTGTGAACAACTTGAGAGTGAGAAAATGATAATAGAATTGTAATTTTTAGGTGAACTGTCCCTTTAAATCCAGAGGAATGAATGAAGATCTACACATTCCTTCACCTATTGCAACAGTTCAGTCCAGAGAGCTGAAGCCAACACATCCATGTCAACACTCACTCAGGTAACACAACTGTTACCTAGCTCTTCCACTAACACACATACTCTCTGAAATCTGATGTATTCCTGCTCGGGTTATAAAGGGCAGCTCAGCGTTTGACGTTCAGATGTTCGATTTTCTGCTGTAATATTTATCCACATTCCAGCCGAGCGAGTGCAGCACTTTGAGGTGGAGATGTGTGTGTGTGTGTGTGTGTTTTATAAATTAGATGGTGTTTAGCCATCCGTTCCCTTTAGGAAATCACTAATGAGATCTTGATCGTTTCTGCTAGACAGCAGTGAGATTAAATGGACGCTTTTATTTGACTCTTCTGCTTCTCTGTTTTTTTGAAGAAAAAGACTCATATTTGTCTGTAGAAATCTCAAACTGCTTGGATTTGTCAAGATATCAGAGTATGCAATCAAAATGTATATATCTCAATATGAGTTCAAATATTTCTCATGAAATTCTCTCAAAATCAAATGACCCGAGCTGTGATAATTACATTCATTTTTCAGATTCAAATTGCACTTTAATTTGTGTCTTTTTATTTCTCTTAGGGAGTTTTAGGATAAATCATTAGTGGAACATTTTGGGCAATATGGGATGTCGTTTTGGTAACATTGTTTAAGTTAACAGTTTTAAAGGGGTCATATGATGCTTTTTTAAAGATCATTATTTTGTGTATTTGGTGTAACAGAATATGTTGACATGCTTTAATATTCAAAAAACACATTATTTTTCAAATACTGTACATTATTGTAGGTCCTCTATGCCCCGCCTCTCTCAAACACTTCGTTTTCTACAAAGTCCCTCCTTCCGACAAGCGCAGTCTGCTCTGATTGGCCAGCTGACCCAGTGCATTGTGATTGGCCGAACACCGCAAGCACTCGTCGGAAATGTAACACCCCTTACCATAATCACGAGCTTCATCTTTCAAAATAAATGTAAAGACAGTAAATAATGTCATTAGTTTTACCATCAGTTCAAGCCCGAAAGGGGAACAGACACAGTAATGATGCAGTACACAAGCCATGGTTAAAGGCAGAGTAAGTGATTTCTGGTAGCCAATGTTGACATTTGAAATCACCAAAACAACCACGCCCCTACCCCAAAAGGGTCTTGCCCCTATTTTGATAGCTCCGCCCCACATATACGTACGCAACCCAGGCAACGATTAGTTCTGTGAAACAAAGCAAAACCAATATTACACCGTGTCTACGGACGTGAGCGGCGCGGCGCGACAAATCCCGACAGAAAACTGCTGCCGGGTTCTATTTATGACGTGCTGACACAAATTTCAAATGGTTTTCAACGGTCGTTTGATCGCGTCCAGTGTAGGCAGACTTTAGCTGTTGTAGACACGGTGTTACTCACCTATTGAGAAGAAACAAAGCAACATCGGCGTCTGATCACAGGCCTTCCGCTCCTTGAGTTCTCTCCAGCGCTGGAAAGCCGATCCGATATTTACATGGGTCCTACTTCTTGCCTTAAGCCTTCTTTTGTTCCGCAGACATTTTCCTCTTTTGTTTCTT